CCCAGTGGGGGTGCCCGCATGCGTCCGCCACACCCAGCACACGTTTCGTGGCCCCATAGGGAGCTCCACCGAAGGCCCCAGTGGGGGTGCCCGCATGCGTCCGCCACACCCAGCACAGCGTTTTCCGTGGCCCCATAGGGAGCTCCACCGAAGGCCCCAGTGGGGGTGCCCGCATGCGTCCGCCACACCCAGCACAGCGCTTCGTGCCCCATAGGGAGCTCCACCGAAAGCCCCAGTGGGGGTGCTCCGCCACACCCAGCACAGCGTTCGTGGCCCCATAGGAGCTCCACCGAAGGTCCCAGTGGGGGTGACCGCATGCGTCCGCCACACCCAGCACAGCGTTTCGTGGCCCGATAGGGAGCTCCACCGAGGGCCCCAGTGGGGGTGCCCGCATGCGTCCGCCACACCCAGCACGGCGCTTCGTGGCCCCATGGGGAGCTCCACCGAAGGCCCCAGTGGGGGTGCCCGCATGCGTCCGCCACACCCAGCACAGCGCTTCGTGACCCCATAGGAGCTCCACCGAAGGTCCCAGTGGGGCTGCCCGCATGCGTCCGCCACACCCAGCACAGCGCTTCGTGGCCCCATAAGGGGCTCCACCGAAGGCCCCAGTGGGGGTGCCCGCATGCGTCCGCCACACCCAGCATAGCGCTTCGTGGCCCCATAGGGGCTCCACCGAAGGCCCCAGTGGGGGTGCCCGCACGCGTCCGCCACACCCATTACGGCGCGCCCCTCACGCGTGTCGTGTCCCACCGATAACGGCACCCACAATGCGTTATTCACAACTGAATATGGTTGGGTCCTTCGGCCGGATAATTTTTTGTTCGTCTAAAATCCCCCTGTAGGGGGACAGGCCCGACCTAGCTCGGGGGGCCCTCGCCGGGCAGCGTCAAGAAACGATTCCGGTCCTGGGGGGGTGGTCCGGACCTCCGGGGCCAAGCAGGGGCACAAAGACCGACAGCAGTTCCTGTTCATTTTGAACAGGATTCGCTGTCGGCGTCGCCGCGGACTGCGTCCATTTGAGCCAGCCGCTGTCGGTCTTGGACAACGTGGGTTGTTGGGCATCGTACCCAGTTTTGTCCGTACCCACTTCGGGCGCCCAAAATCAGGAGGGAAAAACACACAGGCACAATGAATCGTCGATTCCCCAGGAAATATGGGAAACTGTGGGAAGTGGGGGGAAGACAAAAGCCCAGAACAGATGGGAAAATACATGGAAAATCCTGATCTTTGCGTCTATTCATCTGTGTGTCCCAGGGCCCTTTCACAGACTCTCGACGAGCGCCCGCGACTGCGGAGGGCCGCCGGGGAGCCGAGAGCGCGGGGAGGGGCATGTGGGCGGCGGCGTTCCCGGGCGGCCTGCCGGTCGGCCCGCCCCCGCGCGCTGGACGGGCCGGCTCGGGGCGCCGCTGCGATGCTTCTGCAATGCGGCGGGCTTTCGGGATGTCGGGGGTGGCGGGGATGTCGGGATGACGGGATGCCGGGGATGCCGGGGATGCCGGGCTTGCGGGCTTGCGGGACGTCGGGACGTCGGGATGTCGGGATTTTGGGATGTCGGGCTGTCGGGATGTCGTGATGTCGGGTTTTCGAGATGTCGGCCTTTGGGGCCCCTCATCGCGCCCGGGGGCCCACCAAAAGCGAGACCGAACCGGAAACCACGCCCGGGAAGGGGTCGGGACCTCGTGGGCCGCGGAGTGAACAAATCGTGTCGGTGGATGTGTGGTGCTAGGGGCTCCAACGACGACGCTACGCGCCGGTCGTTGGAAGGAGACGTTTCTGGATGCCCAGATCCCAATCGTTTCCAAGCGCTTTCCCACTTCAACAGTCGAGCGGTTTTCCCCCTTCCCTCCTCCTCAGGGGGCGGGCGGAAGTCCAATCTACTTTCAACGCATTCCTACTTCATGTTTCTATCCACTTTTCCCGATCGACGGGTATCCTCCTCGGCCTCTAGACTCTAGAGAACCAAACGACGACAAAAGCGCAACCACTCTGAGGTCCGCGCGGATTTCTTGGATCGGCGCTGCAGCCCCCTGGCGACGCCTCAGGCGCCGCCCTCGGCGCGCTCCGCGCTTGGCATTGTTGGTTCCTCGGTTCCTCGTAAATTCTTGACGCTTCGCGCATCCCCACCAGTGTACGGTACCGTGCTTTCTCCTTCGGAGCTGTCCCTGGCCGTCGTTGATTTTCCGACTTCTGGCGCCTCCGACGGACTTGCAGCTTTGCACGCTGTCAGTTCCCCTCAGTCAGTCACTTCAGCCATCCACCTGCCGTTGGGCCGCTGCGTGAGGCCTCGGCCGGCACGTAGCTGTTGCCCCGCGCGTCGCCTCGGCTTTAATTTTCTCGCGTTTCCTCTGCCTAGTTAGTCTCTGCGTAGCCCGCTTTGACCTGACTCGCCGCCGGCGCGCTCGCCCGCGGCCGCTGACTAAAAAGTATCCCCACCAGTTCCTTTTCTGAGGTGCTTCACCCTGGTCGCACCGTGGTGCTCCCGCGCGCCAGTTTGGCTGCG